CGACATGGAGCCTAAGCTCGTGCAGGCACTGCAAGATCGCATGGCCCATCACCCGGGATGGACGGAGGATCAGCTGTGCAAAATGATGGAAGCAGTGGGCGAATCTAGCTTGTCCGGCAACAGCAAAGATGGCTTGCTCAAAGCCTTGGATGATGCTGCAGGCCCCACAATCGCTGGTCAGTCCCAGGTACGACTCACTAGCAAACCCCAGACCCTCGTGCAACTCTGCAACTACCTCTCCAAGTCAGATTGGGCGAAGTTGTCTACTTCGAGCAGCTGGGGTGCTACAGTGGTCGTCAGCGAGAGGCTCCGGAGGCTCGGGCTCACGAGTCTCAAAGAAGAGACGAAAAAGTATGCAACCGGCATCATCGTCACTTGTCAGATAGAAAGACTCGGCATTGCTCCATCGTACGACGACATCTACAGACTCGCAGAGCAATTGCACAAAGTCTTCCTCAGTGTGCAAGTTCCGCGAAAAGCAGCAGGAGTGACAGTCTATCCTTTGCACCCATCAGAGCTCGGACCGGGCTTCATGAAGGATGCTTATGATCCAGAGGACCCACCGGAGCCGAGAGACCTCCCAGGTCTTGTAGCCCGGGTGGTGAATGAGACACCGGTGCGAAGCACGTCCAGTTTGTTGTCGTGGAATCAAGAGAAGAAGAACAAGAAGAAGGGCAAGGATGCTGCTGGTGACGATGCCTTGCATATGCAAGCCCTCATGCACAGGTTCTTGCAGCAGACGGTCGGCGGCACGGGCATGAACAATTTCAATGCAGTGCAGCCGGCAAGGAATGGCAGCTTGGGAGCTTTGCAGGAGCCATGCCCCATAGCATCCGGTATGCAAGGTGTGCAAGCAAACACAAGCATGCAAAGCAAAGGCACTGTGCCCAGCAGCCTGGCTGCTTCAAGCAGTCTGCAGGCTTTGCAGAACATTGCCTCGCCCCAGCATGCCGCCCAGACCTCCTCGTCCCCGCGAGTGCCAGCCCAGCAATGCACCAGAGACTCCATGCTGCAGACTCCTTCCTCCGTGGCTCCCCCTCCTGGCCTGACTCAGGTAGTGCCTGTGGAGGAAAAGGATCCCCCAGAGCAGCCCCAGCCCCAAGAGCATGTGAAGGAAACCGCTGTGACAACACCTGCAAGCAGCAGCAAGCTCGAGGCGATCGAGCAAGAGGCTTTCAAGGCTTTGCAGGCCCAAAGCAAGCCGGGAGAAAATAAGAAGCGAGGGGCTCCAGATCAGGGCAAAGCAGTCATGAAGAGGCCTTCGGCCAAAGCCAGTGCAGCCAAGCCGGTTGGGAAAGCCAGTGCAGACCCGCTAAAACTTGGTTGTATTCGCTGCCGTGGCTGTCGAACAGGATGTTCGCAGTGTCAGGATCCGGGGTTCAATGGACTCCGCCTGACGAGGGAGGAATGGAAGGAGTGGTATGCCAAACGGCAGCTTGCCCTCGCAAAGGGCAAAGCCTGCAACAAGAAGTCCAAGAGCAAGAAGTGACTGAGTTAGCCTTGGTGTTTTCAATGGGTGGGTAGCTATATATAGCTTCGCACTGCAGCAAAAGCTGCTTCGTACAGCAAAAGCTGCCCTGCATTAATCACTGCAACCGTGTTCCATGGCATCCTGCTTCATTCGAAGCGGGCAAGCGAGCAGCAGAACAAAAAGTCATTGCAGCCCAGCCGGGCTTCATGTTTACATGACCAAATAGCTCCATGCAGCTCTGCATGACAGGGCTTATGCAGGCATGCCATGCTGATTCGGCCTGGGTTCTATATGAATTGTTCCTTGCTTTGCTTCCCTTGTGCTTCTTAGACATTGCCTCGGAAATGGCGCTTAGGGCCCACAGCTCCGTGTGTTTTCACATTTGGAGTTACCTTCCCAGTCCACTGTGTGGCCTGGATGCTTTGTTATATGTTTTGCTCTATAGACAGACATGCAACCGTCATTCTGTTTGGCGGTTCCCGGGTTTTGTGCTGTGGCATTTGTGTTTAAACGGCAGAAGCAAAACCCGGTGTTGAGTTGAAGCTCCATGCATATGCATGGACTGTGTAAGGCTCAATAGCCAAGTCTTGCAGTTGGCACCCATACGGGTCGCAGAATTTTCTCGTCGACAGTTCCTTCCGATGTACATTCTGGCGGTGTGTAGGTGTGTACAGCTACATCTATATTGGGGCTTGAAGTTGCAGGGTTGGAAAATGTTTCATTTGATGTCACTTTGCAGTTTTATGTTGATGTAGCTGAGTTTTGAATGCATCTATAGATGCGCAGATGCATTCTGCATATAGTCTGCTTGCATCCAAATTCGATTGATTCTACCTGAGCAATAATGTCTTCTTCTTCTTCGAAGACAGACGACCGGCCACAGAAGCTGCAACGGTTGAACTCTTTGAGAAGAGCAGCACCTTACTGTAGTAAGAGTGCTCTGCATGGCCTCTTGCAGGATATTCATGATCATGGCATGCCAGAGCTGACAGACCCGAAGCAGATGAGAGAAGCGACAAGGTCGTACTTGGGCAAGAAAGAAGCTTACGGGCCTCTCTTGGAGAAGCAGGAAGCCAAGACAGTGTCTGGTGGCACGGTCGCTTTTTGGCTGGTGAATGTTTTCAGCCTGCTGGATGGGATTTGCCGTGCCGGTGGTGCTTTCTACGACTTGCTTCGGAGCTGTGCAGAGAAAGCGGGCGGAAGGCCACTCCGATTCGCGATCTACTCAGACGAGGTAATCCCAGGCAATGTCCTTGCCGCCCGAACCTCGAGGAAGAGCTGGTGCATCTATCTCTCGTGCATAGACTTCCCTGCACAGGTGCTTGCGATGGAAGAGGCCTGGCTCACCATCGCACTGCTGAGGAGCTCTTTTGTGGCCTCGCTGGAGGGAAGTATCAGCCAGATCTTCAAAATCATCTTTCGCAGTATCTTCTTGCACACTAAGCATGACCCGGCGGCAGGTGTTTGGATGCAGGGGCCGAAGGGCGGGTTTCATTTGTCATTCGAGCCAAGCATGGTAATACAAGACGGGGCAGCTCACAAATTCGCTTGGAGTGTGAAAGGTGACTCGGGTTCGAAGTATTGTTTGTTGTGTGGCAATCAGCGAGCCGACAATCGCAACGAAGAGAAGATCCCCAAGCATGCACATGCTGACTTGCATTTGGTTTCGGATGACGATATTTGGGATTCTTGGTCGAGGCTCGCCGACCTGAAGGGCCGGTGTTCAGCCAAAGACTTTGGCATGTGGCAGCAAGCCACTGGGTGGACCTTCAACACAGAAAGCATTTTTTCGGAGCCTCTGCTGAGGAGGGTGGTCAAACCAGCAACCATGTTCGTGCACGATTGGATGCATTGCTGCTTGAGTAATGGAACATTGAATGATGCGACCTGGTTACTTCTCAGTGCCACGAAGGACCATGGCTTCAAGGATGTTTTTGCCACTCTGGAGAAATACGTGGATCTGTGGACACAGCCGGCTTCCTTCGCACACGTAAAGCTGAAGCAAGTCTTCGAGAACAAGCGGATGAAATCCTGTAGAGAAGCGGGGAAGTTCAAAACGACAGCTTCCGAAATGCTCAGTTTGCTGCCGGTCCTCGCCTTTTTCGTCCGAACCTGCATCCTTGACAAAGGCTTCCTACCATCCGAGTGCGAAGCTTTTTTGCAGATGTGCCTTATGGTGGAACTATTGCAGGCCGCCTGCCATGGGCATGGTTGTGTGCTTCCATCCATGTTGCGAGAGGCCGCCGACAAGTGCATGAGCTCTTGGTTCGAAACGGGCTGGGGGGAGCACGTAACCCGCAAGATGCACTGGTTGCTGCATATGGGTGACCACTATGAAAAGCACAAGAGGCTGCCTGCTACATTCAGCATGGAGCGGAAGCACAGGACAATCACCAGATATGCAGCATCCATCCAGAACACCAGCACTTTCGAGCGATCCCTGTACGAGGAAGTGCTTGCCCATGAGCTGTGGCACTTGGAGAAGTTGCCCGAGTTTCCGGTCGCCCTCGCTCTGGAAAACCCACGGCAGAAGCCCCCCACCAAGCTCAGGGATCTGGTGCTCCAGAGCTTCCCACAAGTCTCCAAAGATGACCTGAAGATCGCAACGATTCTACGGCTTCCTGGTGGTGGGTTGGCAAGCAAGGCAGACGTGTGTTTGCTGCAGGCAGACAAAGGGCGGGACCCTCCTTGGGATTGTGCCGAAGTTTTTTGCCATGTTTCCGTGCAAGGCACATTGTGGTCCGTGGTCTCCCTTTGGAGCTTGCAGGAGTACAACAAGGACAAGCACTGTGCAGTGTGGACCGAGATGGAGCAGCCTGTGATTATCGAGAGCAATGGTCTATTTGAGAGACACGAATTGTGTCCGCACTTTAATCCCTTTGCACCTCCGTAGCTGACAAACTTCTTCGAGGGCCTGGCTCTCCGTTTCACGACAGCCAAAAAAAAAAGGATCTTCTCGCTCAGCATGCACCTCTGGGTCATGCTATATGCACATGACAAACATGGTCATGCAAACATGCCATGAAATAGCAGCTGCAAAACAAACAAAAGCTGCTTAAAACATGCATGGAATATTTCCAGAGTTTCACAGGGCATGTTTTTATCTTCCTTGCTCAGCACCCTGGTGCTTCTGTCTGCATGAGTTGAAGTTGCTTTTCCACATGATGTTTAGCCAGGAAATGAAGGATTCAAAATTTCATATTGCCCGCCTTTTTTATACAACAACCTTAAAATCCAAAAGCACAGAGCCATTCCCATGTCATCGGCCACTGGCCACGGGAACATTTTCATCTCATAAATCCTGTTTTTGTCCTTCAAAAGCACACATGAAAGCATGCACATGTCACGGAAAATCTTATGTTATGCACTACTTCTGTGTTACTACTTAACTAGTTAGCTAATTTTTATAACTGCCATTTCTAATCATCTTAACTCACCTAACTCCTTAGCTAACCCACAGCCCATCAAAGTATAACTGCACTTATAGTCAAAAGTTCTCGTAGATGTCTTCTCCAACAGAATCGACGAGGCCTGCTTCGGTACGTATGGAGTGTTAACAGTGGCGAACCATTCGACGATCTCCGTGACGAACTGCAACCCGGCAGCTTGTGATTCTAGGGTTTAGGGTTCGGGGCTGCGAGTTTCGTGGGCGCTGGCCGGCACGTCAGTCCGTGCTGAAAAAGGGTTTAGAGTTTAGGGGTCTATTTGGGGCTACAGGGGTTCATTTAGAGCTTAGTGCCTGGGAATTTGTTGAGGGTTATAGTGTAGGGTTTTGGCTTTAGGGTCTAGGACTAGGACGTGTCTACACGTTGCAACGACCCCGAAACATACATGTTCGTACATACAGTTATTCTGAATCCACGCGCACATATACATACAGAGACAGAGAGACAGTATTCAGGGTTTAGAGCTTAGGGGGTAACGTGGTTCAGGAATCAAAGGGCGTAAGAGTTCCCGAACCTCGAGATCACATCGGCTGGTTTCCTGGGAGGCGTCAACCGCAGGGCAATCACTATACCCGGACGCGGCCATGAAGTTCAGAAAGGCTTCAAGTTCACCAGCAACTTGGCAGGCTCCCCTGACCTGAACTCTGAGCCCTCCACCCTGCATGGCGATGTAGGAGGAAAAAACACTTAAGTGGCATGAGATAGCAAGTCCTTCGAGATGGAACCGAAGCTAGCAAAGCTTGATCGATTGTTTGTGTTGCTGCATCGCGGGCCGATGGGCATGCTGACAAAAGCACTTGTTTCATGTATGAGGTTATTTCGATTTCAGTTCATGCTTGAAACACACAGGCAAAGCGGATATGCTGCGCAGATTCGTAGCCTTGTGGGATGTCGTGCGAATTTTGCTTTGATTCGGCGCAGATAATACCGGTATGAGGGTGGGAGGTTGGTTGATGACGCAGGATAGTAATGGCCGCTGCCAATTTCAGCCTGCAGTGGGGCTTGCAGAATCGTGTCTGAGGTGGAGGATGCATCTCAGCGGAAGGCGATGGCAGAGGGAGAGAGAGGGGACCCCAAACCTCAAACCGGGGCCCACCCGCACAGAGACCTTGCCTGGTGTCCGAGTTGCGCGAGGGTAAACCCCTAACTGTACGTATATATGTATGCATGTGCGTATTCATGTTTGCGCACATATTGCAACGTGTGTATGCATGAAGCCTGTTTTTGACATCATGCACGTAATGTATGCATTGTACATATGTGATGTAATGTAAGGCATTGTCCATTTGCATGCATGTGTAGTATGGATGTATGTATCGGATGTGTGCATTCTCGTATCAGCTTCATGTAACAGTGTGCTGGTGTATGAAAAATGTACCGATGTAGCATTGTGCTAGTGTAATGCAATACCAGGTAATGCCATGGTAATGCAACGCATTGTATTGCAATGCAATGCCCTTTGTATGCGCGCATATGTATGTATATAAAAAAGAGAGGCAGCAAACATACATATGCATGTACATGTAGTGAATGTCTGTCCTGTGCTCACCTGTACGGTCCGGTCCTATCAGGTCCTGTGCCGTCCTGTCCTGTCGTTTCTTGGTGTAGTCCTGGTCGTGTCATGTGCTGTGAGTGCTCTTCCGTGCCGTGCTGCGCTGCGGCCTGCCTTTGCCTGCCCGGCCCGGTGGCAGGCCGCCGGCCCCCTGGGGGCTGACATATACGCACACGCACACGCACAGAGAGAGAGAGAGAGAGAGAGAGAGACAGACGGATGATGAAGAAATCCATACATACATGCAGACTTATACAAAGACATAGTCAGACATGCATACATGAACGTAGACATAGGTTCAAAAAGGAATTAACGACAAATGCCTGCAGCTCGTTTATTGGAGAATTGGAGCTTACGACAATTTGCGGCACGGCAGAGACACCAATGTCTACGAACATGAAGATTTCAATTCGGCGATGTTTTAGCTTCCAAAGCGCAGCAAGCAAGTATTGCCAGATACATGAAGTGGCAGCGGATACCCACTATCCGAAAACGGGAAGCAGGGCCATGATCCGTCGCGTTGGTAGACAAGCTAAACGATTAATGTATCTGTCTGCACATGCTCAAAGATGACATCACCTTGACCCTTACTGGCTCACAGGAGTTCTGGTGGAGGGCGGCACCTTGTCCGTGAGGAGATGCCGTGGCAATGTTGGAGGAGGCAGAATGCTTGTGGAAGTACATAGATTACATAGGCTGCACCTGCTACTGCAATGACCTACGAAGATAAGACCTTCCTGTCTCATGACAGATGCAGCAGCCCCAGGTACGGATTGTTGTCGACATGTGACATGTGGTGGTAGGCTGTCAAGCCACGCAGCAGCTTGACGAGGGTTCGGCAAGCCACGAAAGCGCAGGCATCAATGTCGGGGTCGCTGGTTTTTTGCAGTCGCTGGTCTGCAATCAGAAATGGTTGCTTGGATTCCTTTTGCGAGCCGGGACGGACTGCCTTTCAGAGTGGCGGTCGGCATGAGGCTACGCCATGCTGCCCAGTGTCCGAGTAATTCGTGATTTAACGTTTTGCTGTTCAGGTTGATCTGCAAACGCTTGCAGGGAAGGGAAGCGCATGCGACATCTCACGACACGATGTGCATTGCACCACCCTGCCACATTCAGGAGAGGCGGCGAGGTCCACATTGAGGATTGCTACGCAGAAGAGCAGGGAGGCCGAGAAGTGCCATCGGGGCAGGGACCACTGGTGAGAGCCACCCCCAAGCCACTTCAACAGAACATGTCGGTTTAGGGGCAGAGTTGTAAAGCATGTGTTCAACGGCCTCAGAGAAGAGCATCATGAGTCAATCTTCACTTTCACTGGTTGCCGAATATCACTTTGGGACTGCTTGTGCTGCTTCCTTGCACTATTCTTCGTGTTCTTCTTGTTGTTGCTGTAGCAGCAGCCACTACGGCTGACAGTAGCCTGAAGCAGTCAAAATTGTGAATGTTCGTACTTTGCTAAAAGCTCTGAACGGGACCTGTAAAGTCTCGAAAGCTTTCGCATCCTGACTGAGCTGCTGTCAGCTCCCCGGTCCGATTTATCGGGCTTCCCTTTTCAGCTTGCGCTTTTGCTTGTGATAGGTCGGGAGGGTGTTCGTTGCAGGATGTCTTTGAATTCGCCCTTCGCCGACGGATTGCTTTTCTGATGCAGCTGGCTGCGAAGAACTGTTGTATAATTACGCAACGGCAATCTATGAGCTTCCGATGTGCCTAGATGTCAAGGTATGTCAAGCCTCGTTCCGTTTTTCTTCGCCCCCTCTCGCATGGGCGATTCTCGTTCTGCCGTCTGTAGACACAGCTGGTCCCTTCACTAGCTGCTCGCCAAGCGCGTCAATGCGTTTGTTTTGTTGTGCTGTTTTTCATTTTGTTAGCATCATAGCATTATCGTGTGTATTGCTATTCTTGTCGTTGTGGTCGTTGCTGCTGCTGCAGTTGCTGTTGCTGTTGCTGGTGCTGTTGTTGTTGCTGACCATCTTGCTGCTGTTTTTTGTCGTCGTTTCATCCGCTCTTGCAGCACATGTTTCGTGGCTACTGCTTCGCAGGTGGCATGACGATCGCGGGCAACTATGGGGAAGCGGGGGTGGGTCTGCACATGGACGGCGGGACTCTGCTTTTTCGCACCTGGACTTGTATCTCTGCATTTGAAACGAGGGCTCCGTTGTCTTTGTTTGCGGACCGGTCCAGTTTTTGGCCCATTATGAAGGGTTCAGGGCGTCAGGGTCTGAGGGTATAGGCTGTCCAGTGGTTTCGGCTTGAACTGACCCCGCTCGGTTTGTGGCCCATCCGCTGACCTCTTAGATTCCGTTAGGTCAGACGGTTGAAGGGCTTTGCGGCAATGGGATCCCAGCCAGCAATGCTTGCAAGCCTGGTAGCCGGTGCCCCACTTGCTTCATACTACTACTACTACTACTACTACTACTACTACTACTACTACTACTACTACTTCTACTACTACTACTATTACTACTACTACTACTTCCACTACCACTACCACCACTACTACTACTACTACTACTACTACTACTACTACTACTACTACTACTACTACTACTATACTACTACTACTACTACTACTACTACTACTACTACTACTACCACTACTAGTACTACTACTCCTACCCCTACTCGTACTCCTACTCCTCCTGCTGCTCCTGCTCCTGCTCCTGCTCCTGCTCCTGCTCCTGCTCCTACTACTACTACTACTACTACTACTACTACTACTACTACTACTACTACTACTACTACTACTACTACTACTACTACTACTACTGTTTTGAACTACTACGCAAACAGGATCAGCACGGAGGAAACTCACCTGTTGAGTGCGAACGCAAAGCATTAACGTAACTGTATGCAGGAAAACGGACCTCCCAACATGCAAGGAACAAATGAACAAACATCATCATCAACATCATCGCTTGGGCACTTCCAGTTCGGGGGGCTGCCCTGATGTTACTACTACTACTACTACTACTGCTACTACTACTACTACTACTACCACTATTGCTACTACTACTACTACTACTACTACTACTACTACTACTACTACTACTACTACTACTACTACTACTACTACTACTACTACTACTACTACTACTACTACTACTACTACTACTACTACTACTACTACTACTACTACTACTACTACTACTACTACTACTACTACTACTACTACTACTACTACTACTACTACTACTACTACTACTACTACTACTACTACTACTACTACTACTACTACTACTACTACTACTACTACTACTACTACTTGGTCCCGGGGCTATCTCGTATCACCTGGGTGTTTTACGCATCTGCAAGGCGTCTACTTCGGGGAACGCATTATCAACGTTATATCATCTTATCGAGCTCTGTATCTTCACCTTCATATTCTTCGGCGTCCGCAGCACGCTCTCGCATTTGTGAGTGTCAGTGGACTTGTGCGCGCTCATCTTCGCACGAGTGTGTGCTTGTGTATTGAGCTTATGTATTAGACATCTGTATACATATGCACTGGTGCGGTCTGTGCCTGTCGGTTTTTGAAGCCCAAAGAGTCTTCTGCTCACATCTGCGTCGCGCAGGACTCGCGCAGGGTCACACGGGACTCGCGTAGGACTCTAATATAGCGACATACTCACCACCCATGTTCAGGGTTGCTTTTCATGCTTCCGTGGCGGGTTCAGGCATCCTCTCAGTCTTATACTAGTAGCATGCCACTTTCAAAACCCAGCATCTACTTGGCAAACGCACTGCTTTCTTATCTTGGAATGCTTCCGAATGTAGCATATACCTCAGCGTCCGCAACATATCCGGCACTTTGGCCTACCTGTGCGTGCTTCTTGAAAACAGCGTCTACATGGGGTTTAGGTAGTTCTGATGTGTAAATTTCACGCTGATGTGTTTTCTCCCTAAACCAGCGTCTGTCGGCATTGATGTGTATTCTCTTTAGCTGATGTGAGATAACCCCAGCGCCCACTACTACTACTACTACTACTACTACTACTACTACTACTACTACTACTTTTACTACTACTACTACTACTACTACTACTACTAATACTACTACTTCTACTACTACTACTACTACTGCTACTGCTACTGCTACTGCTACTGCTACTGCTACTACTACTACTGCTACTTCTGCTACTACTGCTGCTGCCGCTGCTATGACGACGCAGCGACCACCACTATCACTAATTTACAGACATGTCTACACAGGAAACTGCACGGCCGATAGCGACTATGGCGGCGGGCTGCTGGTGCTCGACGGGCCTATGCAGCTTCCTTGCATTAAGTTTTGGGCAGAGGCTTTCCTTTCTGGAGTAACCTTGAGTTCGAGTGGCTGGCAGGTCCTTACAGATGAAATTTGGGCCTGTGTCTACCGTTTGCTTCTTCGTTTCTGGCCATGTAACACAAGGCTCACCGGGCGCTGGCCTCGCTGCCAACATGAAACGAACCAGCTCATCTCAACATCGCCATATCATCATCATCATCATAATCATCCTCCCCACCGCCAGCTTTTTCGCGATCTGAAGCTCGGGGCAGGTGTCCGTTCGCCGCGCCAAACTTTCTCAAGCTTTGCATCGGGCTTATGGCAGTCTTGGTCATAGACTGCAGCCATATACTAGCCACAAGTGCAAGCGGGTAGTCAACACCAACAATGTCAACAATGACGTCAGCAACCGCAACAACAAGAAGCACAGCAACAGCAACATCAGCAAAAACAACACCCGGGAACCCGGGAAGCAACAGCTACCACGACCCACATGCTGCCACCACTTCACCAGCAGCATCAGCATCAGCCATGGCAGCAGCAGCAACATCTATAGCACTACGACAACTATGCCTCGCATTATCACTCCTTCAAAAGCACGACGGCAGCGACAGCGACAGCGACATCAGCAGACGCAGCAGCAGAAATAGCAACAGCAACAGCAACAGCATCATTATCAACCACGACGACACGTTACGACGGCCAGAACCACAGCAACGACGACTACGACGACAGCAACAACAACATCAACAACAACAACAATCATGATGACAAAAAAACAATAACAGCAACAACTACAACAAAAAAGCAAATGCAACACCAGCAACAGCAACAGCAGCAACAGCAACTACAGCAACAGCAACAGCAGCAACAGCATCAACAGCAGCAGCAGCAGCCGCAGCGACAACAACAACAAGAAGGTAGGTAGAACAACAGCTATTATCGCCATACCAACAACTGATGCACTAGCAGTTGCTGCCAATGTCGATGGACCCTCGCACTCAAGTTGCACAGACATTCGTCATGATCACGGGCAGTATGCATAGTCCTGCACTAGTCCCGTGGGCCTCACTGCACTACGATGGCTTGCTTGGCATGTCGTACCATGTAGTTAGTCGCGGCTCCCCGAACGTGCTGGGATTGTCGTAGAACTGCTAGCTTTCACAATGACCCTTGCCCCTGGTGCCCAGGATCCAGAGAGGCGGAAACATCCGCTTCGAGGACTGTGCTGCTTATTACGGCGGTGGCGCCTATGTGGAACTTAACGTCATCCAAGAGGATGGGGTCATGGAGCACCTAGTCATCGAAAGCCGAGTAAGACTGGGGCCTGATTGACGGCCCGATTTGTCCGAACCCAAACCTTAAGTCATAAGGTAGAAGCCAGAAAGTTGGAATATGATTATCGTAACCCTTCTATGGTAAATTATAGGTATCCTACCATGAAACCATATTCCAACTTTCTGGAGTTTCCTATAAGTCATAAGTTCAGAGTACGACCAAGGCCTGACATGTTGTGCCCAGACTCACATGAAGTCATGTTTTTTGTAGCTTTTGCTATCATGGCAGGGGACTGCTGCGCTTCGGCATCAGTCAGCAATCAGAGACCTTAGGATGTTCTATTTGAAAGGCATCCTGATCTCGCTAGGTTCCAACGTTGCAAATCTTTGCGATGGGGTGATGGCGGTGGTATGTATGTTCGCGAAGGGCTCAAGCAAGCTACTGGCCTGCAAGAAATGGGTGATCCAGGGTGGCAGAAGTCTGACTCGATCCAGGGTGGCAGAAGTCTGACTCAGTGACGAGACAAGGGCTCGAAGCACGTCCTGAGGTGGACGGCGAGATCAGGTTCCGGAATTGTCGCCTGCTGAGCTTGCGACATTCACGATGCTGCATTGCCTGTCTTGTTCGTCACAGGTGCATCTTCATGCAGGTAGTTGTTCCTATCTCTGTCTGCACAATACTCAACGATTTTCTGGGCATTTGTTGGAGGAAGCCCATGATCTCGGATGTGCCGAGGCACGGCAGGGCGCGCCGGCGGAGGGATCTACGTATCGAAGGGCAGTCTGCAGCAACTGCACCTCGTCACGGAGCACATGTTCAAACGGGGTTCAGGGTTTGAAGGAAGAATTGGAGGACAGGTATGTCAGGTCTGCCATTGTTTGCAATAATCAGAACTGGTTTTGGTGCTACCATAGTCTCTGACGTGGCACAGGCTCAGCTCAGGGTTCTAGTCCCGCTCTGGGTCTCACATGTTGGCTCCAACAGAATTCGGGGGTACAGCATTTGCATCGCGAAGGGCCTATGTCACTATGTCCTCAACAACCTGTGCCACATTCGCCGTTTCCAGGTGTCCACATCGTGAGCACCTGTACCCCAAGATTGGCACCTATATAAACCTCTGCAGTCCACTCACCCATGCGCCTGCAGAAAGAAAGTGCAGGCCATCTGTTTCGGCGTATCATGGATTTGTAAGCCGGCGCAGCCATCTACTCGCGAGCGATGCTTCCATTCCGCGGCATGGAGCAAACCGGTCCCACGGAGCGGTGCCGCACCTTCGTTTACCGACGAATGGGAGTCAGAAAGAGGAGCATGCGGGACGGCCATGGTATTCAAGTGTTGTTCCATGCACTGACTCTGCAGTCGTTTTGTCTCACTTCTTTCTTCCGTTCCACATCGGTATCGTTTTGCTGTTGTTTTCGGTTGTCAAGACTTTTGTTTGAATCTGCCAATCGAAAGCCCAGCTAGTCACCATGTAGATTCAGCAGCTGTGACCTTCCCCTCTCCCTCCGAGGGGTGGCGACTTTCACGTTTTGCTGCTTGGCTGACTTGGAGCTGCGACTCCCTCTGGGTCCTTCCCTAAGAAAAGAGGAACGGGTTCTGTAGTATTGTTATTTACCCATAGGCCCCATAGTAGTTCCTTAGTTGGGATTCATATTTAGAATCCTACAAGGTAATCCCAAAAACGAACTACCATGGCATGGGCCTATGGGTAGCGTATAATATAGCTCAGAAACCCTCTTCCAGCGATTAAGGCGCCTATGTAAACAGGGTGCACAGGCGAGGCTCAACACGCTTCACGTGAAGTAAAACGTTTTAGGGTTTAGGGTATGATTACGCGGTGAAGTTTGCAGGCCTGTAGTAGTGATGAGAAGGTCACCTTTGTGCTGCAGATTTGAAGTCTTGCAGTGCTTCCCAGCTGATCGGCAGAGTCTGGGTTCAAAAAAGGGTAAGCGTAGGCAGGTCGCCAAAGAAATACTTCGACGGATGGGAATTTGAATGCGCACAGCTCTGCGATGCTGCAAAGAACCCTGAACCCTAAGCATTCCAGTCCCTAAGCTCCAAAACCGTATCACTAAACCTTGACGGAGTTGCATGAGTCCAAATGGGAGTTTCCGATAATAGGGGGGGCCCTAATATAGTACTCTAAGTACGATCCTGATAACCAGGACCCAAAAATGAGGTACCCCTTATTTTCGGAAACCCCCAAATCTTTCAGTCTCATGCCAGGTCAGCCTTCAGTCACAATCGTGGTGGCGGCATCGCCATTAGCACCGGATCCATCGTCTGCACTAGAACAAGTAAGACTGGTAGGGGGTTGCATTGTTACATTAAGGGGTACTACCCGGGTCACCAGAAGGGATACTATAATGGTTGCTATTGGAGGCTATCGTCAGCAATAGCTCAAATAGGATGGAAGTGATTTGTCAGGACGGTAGATGAGCACTGTTTGGGAGGGTGACTGCCGACATGCCTGTGTGGCATCATGCCCTCTGAACCGAGGACATCTCATACAGACCGGCGGCTACCTTGAAGTATACAAGTGTCTCGTCAAGCATGGCGGAGTTCAATGTGGCAAAGGTTAAGAGGGGCACGCCCCAAGCCCTGAACCCAAGCAAAGCTCATGAAACCTCGGAGGTGATAATGCTTCGGGAACGCGTTGAAACTGTTCTGTTTCAGGTTTGTTGGATTTAGGGTTTCGGGTTTAATGTAAGAACCTGATTAAGAAACCAGGGCCTATAACCCCAAAATAGTGGGATTCATATAAGGAACCTTAATAGGGGCGCAAGGCCCCAAGGTTTCTTAATCAGGTTCCTACATGAGGTCATAGTGATGACCGTCGAGCTTTGGGATGACAACCGTCTTGAGCCCTAGGCCCTAAAGCCTATAGTCGGACGAGAAAGAGGGTTCAGGATGAATACGACCTCAGCAGAAGCAGAGAGACAGTTGTAGACTTGCTTGTGAGGGGGCTGTTGCAGGGCCTGTAAGTGCCTAACCAACACGCCCAGCGGAAGAACCGCTTCTCGGGATCCTTGCGAGTCGAAAAAGGGCCGTTCAAAAAAAAAAAAAAAGCCTATAGATCCCCTTAAGGAACCCTATAGATCCCTTTAAGGAGCCCTATAGATCCCTTTGGCTCAGGTGCTGGACGGAGAAGGGGGGTGGTGGAATTGCCATTACCGACGGGAGACTCCCGGCTCGACCTGGTAGGTGTCAAAATGATGGTTTCTTTTGGGGTCCCTATACGAATACGGCACGTAAGGGGCCGTAATTTTGACAACTACCCATGTGACAGAAGGAAGGAAGCAGTGAAGCATCAGAATCTTGCTTCGGATGCTTGCGGAGACAGGCCACAATACCAGGTCCATGGGTTACTTGTTGCATTGGCGTAGCTTGGTGCGGTCTTGCAGGAAAGAGGTGGTCATTTCAAGCATAGGCAGCGACAAATCATGAGAATAATAGCAGGCGTCCCTTCCAACACTTTGCTCCACCTGACTTGTGAAGCCAACGGTTTCACTCGTGCCAGGCATGCACTTAAGCTTATAACAGGAAGTTGCTTGTTAGTCTCCGTATACCTGATCACTTCTCCATTCATTAAAGACCTCCCTAATAATAAAAACACTTTGGGGCCAATACTCCCGAAATCTCCCCTGACCTTTAAAACATAGTCTGCAGTGGGGGGGATCCAGAGCAAGAGCAGGAGCACGAGTAATTAAAGGCAAAATCAAGAGCTGGAGTGAGCGCAAAAGCAGGAGGAGGACGCGCAGCAAGCAACAGCAAGAGCCTTCAAGACTGACGGTAGAGATACAATTACCCTCCAAGAATCAAAACACTATCCGAGTTTTTGTTTGGGGGGGGGTGCCGTTTGATGTTAGAGGGAAGGGATTTGCTTTTGCTCGTTGATTGATTGTTTGTTTGTAGCGGTCTATGACACGCCTCTTGCTGCTGCTGCCCATCCACTATCATTACCAGCTGTCTACATACGTGTCTGGTGTCTGCATGGTTTGTGGAAGTTAATAGAACGATTATAACGCATGCGGTAAGTCCGTCCATGTCAGTGGTAGCCAGTCACAATGGACCGAGCGGCACGGAAGTCAGGCCTGAGACAATCAGATGGCACCATCTTGGTGCAGGGGTCTGGTACTTCAGGCCGCGCGCCTCTGCTGCAGTGCGACTTGCTGCCTTCGACGTGTGGTCGGGGGCATGATGTCGGACAGGGCAAATTTTGTGTGTGCTGCTTTGTGCTTGCAAGAGGACACTTTGCTTTCTGCGAGATAGCTAGTGCCTAGCTAGTGCCTGGTCAGATGAACGGACAAAGCACGGCGCACAGAACAGAAACGAAGTCACGGTCGGACTTTGTCGGTGACGGGTGCAAGCCTCGACCTTTCGTGTGCTGTGCTGCATGGAAAGCCGTTGAATACATGTGAGCTTCGGAAAACAAGTCACCTTCACGGAAGCCGAAAAATCGTAGGACCGGATCCAGGACCCTAAAGCCGTAAACCCTATAAGCCCTAAGCCCCAAGAATGGTGGCTGCATCTACCTGCTGTCCGGGGATGTGGAGCAGACACACGGCACTCTGGTGCTGCGGAGCTGTGAAGCCGAGGCTCCCCGAAGTTTTGCCTTCGGGCTTGAGCTTGCTTTACTTTAATTAAGCCTTGTAGAGTTTTAGGTTACGGCTTGGGGCTTTTTGGCTTGAAGTTTAAAGCTTAGGGTCTTGGGTGACAGTAGCTCAGCAGCTCTGGGATGGAATTGGTTCATGGCTGTAGTATGAACATGCTCGTGCCGAAGAGCTCAATGCTCCAAAAACACGGATGAACGTCAGAAACCCAAGCAGCTGCAATCTTGACAGGTAAATGGAGGATTGATGACCATCGGAATCGGCAGCTCGCTCAGCACGCGGGGTTCAGCTCACGGGCTTTTTGCTTTGGGGAGCAGGGCTCTTTTGAGGGAGTGAGCCGAGTGGCGACTTCTCCGCATGCGCTGCCTGAAGCTTGACATATATGTCGCAGGTGAGAGGTCTTGAGACATGTCAGGAAGCGCCAGCTCACAGGCAAGCCAAGATCAGAAAGGCCTTTCAGAGAAAGCTCCAAAACCCTAACGGCCCTAAATCCTGAGCCCTGTACCCTCCCAGGAAACTTGAACCAACTTGGCGGCAAGATGGTCTTCGAGCGAGGCAAGACCCCCGGAGCTGGAGACGGTGGCTGCGTGAATTTGGCCCAGGGCGGCTCCTCACCTTGAGTTCATGTTTAACATACGGGCCTTAATAGTTACTTGTGCCATTTATTATTTTGGGGACCTAAAGAAGTACCTGTAACCATTTGGGGATTCCTTGTTCTAGTTTATAGTAGATGATAACTTGAGTTCATGTAGCATAGGGGCCTTAATCGTTACCTGTACTATTTTTGTTGGGGGGCTCCTTATCATTATAGTTATAGTTCAATGCACCTTGAGTTCATTTACTATTCTTCAGCGCTATGGCCGTGGGTATTGCTGGTTCAGCAGCAGACTTGTTGCGCAAAACCCAGGTATGTAACAAGAAAGTTATCAAGAGTAACGGGTAGGAATAGCATGAGTGCGGTCCGGTATATGCAGCAGCTGGGACTAATGTCACCATTGGTTCGATACACAAGGCGAGCCCGACGGTGTTTCGGGAAATCAGGAGCTTCTGGCAAGCTTCTGACAAATCCTAGTGCAAGGTCGGCAAGGTCCTGCGATAGAGACATGGGAGTTTCCGAAAATTAGGGCTGCCTGATTTTGAGGTCCTTATATTAAGGATCCTACTATTTAGGGTACTACATTAGGGTACCCCTATTTTCGGAAACTTCCACATTATGCAGAAGAAACAGGCCTTGGTCCGAGCTTCGCTGATTCAGACAGCAAAGTAGAGAGGCTCCGATGCTTCAATTTTCTCACTGACGCGAATCACCACTTCATGCTCGTGCCCTATCAGCAGACTCATCAAGCAATTGCGTGGCAGAGATCAACAAGTCGGCTCACCGAGCTTACCACCACAGTGCCGTGCAGTCCCGGGTCATTTCGGCCTTCACATCGCTCGAAGTTGCTAAAGCCCTAGCACGGCGCTCCTTGCACCGACTCGTGGTGTGGCTTTCCCTTGTTAGCAGTCGTGCTTGGCCACAGTCCAGAGTCCCGGGTGGTTCCTGCGTCATGCTCCCAGCGCAATGGCCTGCACAAAGATTGTGGGGCTCATGATTCCGCTTCCGGGAATCGTGCAAGCGCCCGATCACACCGTTTTGTTTCTGGGGGCCAAACGCAAGACTCCTTCCTGGGACACAGGCAGTGAACACAGCAGAAGTGCAGTAAGTACACGCTGACGTTTAGTGAATGCTGGGTGTCGTTCGAAAGTGAAAGCCAGGCCCCGACAAAAAATACAATTAAGACCACAGCAGAACCTAAGAAAAACACGGTAAATAAATTGTACCGGCTGTGTTCGCGCTGTACTTGCCGCATGAAATGCAGATCTATAGATACTACTCGAGGGTCAAGCAGCGCGTATACCTGGCATTTAAATGCACCGTTGACGAAGCTTCCGCAAAAGGGTTTGAAATTGGTGAAAGGGTATGGAGCTGTTGGTGGTTCAAGGGTGCTGTTTCTCATGCGAGGATACAAGTAGGGCGAAAAGTTCTGCTAGGATTGGTTTGCGAGTTGAGGATGGGTTGTCTATGTTGTTTGTGGTACTCTTGCCTAGAGGAGCAAAGATTCTGCGACGATCAGAGGTTTGTCTCTCCCCTGAATATCGGTAGTAGCTATTCGTTCATGGCTGACTTTCAAAATCCACGATTGAGTTTGTCAGCCGAGTTTGCCAGATGTAACACCTTCCTATATAGGTCCTAACCGCATACGCACTGAGCCTCCGCTACAAGGCCTGGTGCAGACTGGTGGCAGCATTCTCTTCTCTGATTCTTGGATGTTCTGGCAGAAGTCGACCACCAGAGTGCGTTTCCGGCCGCGCGTGTGTCGTTCTCGGTGGGAAGTCGGAAGCGCCGGCACGCAGCCACCGACAGAGCTTGAGAGCTAAGTATGCAAGAGGGGTCAAGGCAGCTCTTCAGCCGGAGATTGTAGGTCCATGCAGCAGTGCAGCAGACTGTTCAACTCCTGGTAGGTTGGATTGTGTTGAGAGCCTCATGTAGTACTAAACTCGACTTTTACCGAACCTACATATTGTACTATATTTCTCGTTCCGGGACCGTTTCGAACAGTATGGTGAAGTGTATGTCATCCTTCAGGCTTCTAGGGGCTACTCGTACCTGTAGTCTCCCCTTCGCCATCAGCCGAGCCTAGGAGTGCCATGCGGGCTCCTGGGGTAGTGCCGGAGCTCTTGCCGTCAACGGCAACCTCCGGCAAACGGATGGCCAGCTCCTGTGTTTCGGCTTCTTTAATCAAGGGGGAAAGTAAGGGACCCTTAATGGGGACCCCTACCCTCTAATGGGCGAATCAAGGTTGAGGGCTTCGGCCTCTTTGGAGGTTCAGGGTTGCCCTAGTAGTCGAATAGGTAACCTTTAACCCTTTGTTTTGGGTAGTATAGTCCCTAGACAATCCCTATATAACCGAAAAGGTTAACCTTTAGTTCCCCATGCTACCCGACAAGTAGGGTTGAGGGATTTGGCTTATTTGGGGGTTTAGTAACCAAAGGGGAATATACCCTTAATATAGCTATTATATACCCATTATATAGCCCATTATAGGGTAGGGGTCCCCATTAATTAAGGGTCCCTCCTTTTCCCCTTTGAAGTAAGGGTTCAGGTTGGGGGTTTAGGGTGCAAGCCTGCAGCAAAGGGTTTCGGCATGTTTCGGCTCATGGCGGAGACGATCGCGACTTCCAGCCGTCACATGTTCACGGACTCCGGCACGTGCCGCCCTCTCCAGAGCTTGTCACTCCTAGACTCCCCTAAACCCTAAACCCCTAAACCCTAAACCCGAGAGGGTGTAAGACCAGAATCACGGGCCTCTTTGCACAGAGTCGACTTCGATTTTGTCAGGTTTTATGATTGTACCGCGCCGCTGTCGGGCGGGGCGCTTTGCGTGATGGGTCGCTCGCCTCAGTTCATGATCTAGCAGTTTGTCCACAAAGGCCGTGCGGATGCAACAATAATGACATAAACGTGCAGCATGATGAGCTGAGCATTTTCAGTCAGGCCATGCCTGAAAATTCATTTCGGCAGCATGCAGACAGTATCTTGGAGCAAGGTCTGGCGCTGCCTGAAAGTACCACTATCGATTCCTCCCCTGCAGGAGCTGTCGTTCAAGAGGGAGGGCTCATGGAGTTCCAGAAGTGCTACTCTGAAGAGACTGGCGGTGGCATGTGCCTCGGTGCAGTCAAAGACGGGTTTCCGAGGCACAAGAGACAAGGTTTTGCCTGGAGGCAGATGGGGGTCCAGAACGAAGCTCATGCGAAATCGGTATTTACATCTTGAGTTATCGCGACTTGATGTATTTCAGCAGGTACGTTCTCGGCGACCTGACGCAGCTGGGTGGCGTGATAGAGTCGCTTAGTCCAACAAACAAACTATGTCACTATGTTGTCTAGATACGGCTGTCATCTGCTCGCCTGGCACAGGTCCAGAACATTCCACAGGGTTCAACAAGTTCTTTATGCATGGTAATGTAGGAACCTGATTAAGCAACCCTGGCCCTCTAACCCCTATATATGAGGATCCATATTCGGAACACTATTTAGCCCCAAGGTTTCTTAATCAGGTTCCTACATTACATGTCATCGTGCATCTGACAGCCGGCTTGCGGCAAGGTTCCTCCAGTGCGCCACCGGCAGCAACATAACACTTTATGCAGGGCGAGGCCGGATGCGCACGCCAAAGATCCAATTATGGTATTATAGGCTTATAGTAGTCTTATGATTAGTATTACAGCCACCTCAGTCGTCCAAAGCTCTGGCTCGCACCCCCAATACTCGCAATGGGTGTGATCGCGAAGCAGGGAACTGTGAAGTGTCCAAGAGGGTGGTTAAAAACGCTCGCAAGCCTCTCAGAGCGAATGTGCATGTGCCCTTCATGACACCTCCGGGCAGGCTATGCTGAACAGCCCTTGGTGGCCGGTGGGGCCCTGCACGTAGTGCGAGGAAATCTGATTCAGAAAGCTGGTGGCAAGGCGGCACTACGCCCCGCTTCCCTGGGTAGGGGTGTGCAGACATGGCCGTATGCTGGTCATTTGTTTACAAACTTGATTTCCTCTAGACCACCCCCGACTTACTCCAAGCGGTTGACCGAGTGGTATCATCTATTACTGGAGACTTCTGGGTACCTGCAAGTCACAAATGGTGAGGAGGGTAAAGTAAAGTTAAGAACCCGTTGAGTGGTGGCTTGCGTGTAAAAACAGCTGCATTTGTTCTTCGTGTTTTCTCGTTCTTCTTAATTTTATATTGTCACTCTTCTTGCTGTTCGTGTTGTTTGTTGGTGGCGGGCGTGGCGGCAGTGGTGGTGTTTGTATTGTTCGCAATATATTGGCTTCATCTCACTCACCATGAAGACGGAGATAGTTCCTTCTGTATCTTCTCGTTCAACAGCTGTTTGTTCACTAACTCGTGCTTGCTCTTTGGTTGTAGATACGATGGAATTAATAACGAAAGCTTTCTGATTTTTCAATCTAGCTATTGTTACTACTGCTGCTACTGTTACTACTACTACTACTACTACTACTACTACTACTCCTACTACTACTACTAGTACTACTAGTACTACTAGTGCTTCTAGTGCTTCTAGTGCTTCTAGTGCTTCTAGTGCTACTAGTGCTACTACTACTACTACTGCTACTACTACTACTACTACTACTACTACTACTGCTCCTGCTACCTACTACTACTACTACTACTACTACTACTACTACTACTACTACTACTACTACTACTACTACTACTACTACTCCTGCTGCTGCTGCTGCTGCTGCTGCTGCTGCTGCTGCTGCTGCTGCTGCTGCTGCTGCGACATCTACCACTACGACTACGACTATGACTACTACTGCTACTACTACTACTACTACTACTACTACTAGTACTACTACTACTACTACTACTACTACTACTACTACTACTACTACTACTACTACTACTACTACTACTACTACTACTAGTGCTTGTACTAGTACTACTATTGCTGCTGCCACTACTACGACTGCGACTACGACTATAACTACTACTGCTACTACTACTGGTGCTGGTACTAGTACAACTTCAACTACTACCACCGCTGCTGCTGCTGCTACTACTACTACTACTACGCTACTACTACTACAATTACTACTACTAGTAGTGCAAGTACTATTGCGACTACGACGACGACTACTACTACTACCACTACCACTACCACTGCTACTACTACTACTACCACGACTAACTACTACTACTACTACTACTACTACTACTACTACTACTACTACTACTACTACTACTACTACTACTACTACTTCTTTTTCTTCCACTACTAACACCTACGACGACGACTGCTTCTACCACCACTACTACTGCTGCTGCTACTTCCACTACGACTACTCGTCTACTACGACTACTGCTACTACTACTGCTACTAATACTACTACTTCCACTACGTACAAACACGACGATGACTACTACTGCTATCGCTACTACTACTGCTGCTGCTCCCACCGCCGCTGCCCCTTCAGCTGCTACTACTTCTACTACTGACCAGTACTACTAGTACTACTACTAGGCTAGGGCGCCCTGAGGCCCCTGGGGATTTTATCCAAGGGATTGGCGTAATTTTGCAAAACGCAAAAAAAGCAGGAATTCCTGAATTTCGGCAACTACTCGCGAGGCTTAAACTGGTGGTTTCGGGGTTCAGACTGAAGCTTTGAATGGCCTGTCTGAACCGAACGTTAACATCACAGGGCCTGTGAATGGTTTTGCAGGGTTGAGGCTCTGAATGGTTTCCGTCTGTTTGAACCTTAACATCCCCCCCAACGAATCACGAAAACCCACTGAAAAAGCAGGAAAACACCAGGCGCCTGGGGGCGCGCTTTGCTACTGCTTGTACTACTACTACTACTACTACTACTACTACTACTACGACTACTACTTCCACCCTGCTTTCGGGAGCTTTGCTTAAGCACGTATGCCCGAGGCTCCATTAGTGTCGACAGCTGCACCACAGAAGGCAGTGGTGGAGGCCAGATTCCTTGCTAGCCTGCTGCTGGGGTCAGTAAGAGGTTCGGCACTGTAACTTTAGAAGAAGATCGGACTGCACACTGGGGTGGTGTTCATGGAGTGGAGGTTCGTATGGTCTCAGCTTGGATTTGACACGACGACATGCAACATGAGGCAACCACCAAAATAGAGCTATCCCATGTCCCCTAATGTTCACACATTTGGTAGAGCATAGTGCAGTCCAATATATTGTAATAATGTTTCTTGTACTGTCGCAGATTGTTATACTATGTTATAGCCTGCTGTAGCGCTATACTCTACCATACTAGACTGTGTTATATACTAGACTAGATTATACTATACTACTACACCATGGTCTTTTCCAGCCATCGATCGGCGAGGCGGTGAAGACAGTCTGCGCTGTCGCGCACAGCGCTAGAGCTTCCCAATACTTTACTATAGTAATATAGTAGTACCCATAGGCCACAAAGTAGTTCCTTTTTGGGATTACCTTATAAGATTCTATATATGAACCCCCAAAAGGAAATACTTTAGGAAAGGAACTACTTTAGGGCCTTAGGGTATAGCATAGTATTGTCTACGATAGTATACTACAGCATACTGTAGTTTGTAGTACCCTACACTGATATAAGGTCAAAGTGCCAGTTGCTGCACTTGCTGGAAAGGACCCGGGTCCACCCTGGTTTATCGTCAGGCATGTTCATCCTCAATGGTGACTTCCAGCAGACGGGTGGAAGTACACATCTGCAGAAGCTTAGCCCCAGCAGGCAAAAGGCGTTTGACATTCACCTTTTGGGCATTTTGGGGGCCTGGCCGGTTCTTTGCTTTCACCTTTGTATGCTGATTGTCATGTCCCAGTCTACAGTCGACTGCCGTGTCTGAGGCGTTCGGGGATGCAAGTGGGGCCAGTCGGGGCTCAAACCCAGGAACCCCTTCCCAGTTCCCAGATCATCCAGAAGCAGATGTTTTTTGCTTGCGGCCTGGGTGCCGAGGAACTGCACCGCAGAAGAGCTGGCAGGGGGCATCGGCGTGCAGACGGCCGGCTGCAAAAGTCACAGGATGTACGGTTGCCGGAGCTTAGAACGCAGGGTACAACTGCAAGCTGTCCCTGCAACATCATAGGGAGTCCGTGCCATCGTCCCGGCGACAGTTGTCCTGCGGGGATCAGCTGGCAACTTAGAAACCAGGGTTTTACAATTGACACTCTGCCCTAGGACTCGTCATGAGCCATCGTGGTCGGCGCAGACCTCATCCTGATAGGGCCTTTCCCGAGCAGTATTCGGCAGACATTGTAGGGTCCTTTGTTGAAGCAAATTTCTCATGGGCCAAGGAATGGAAGTCTCGTGCAAGAGGATGGCATGCTGTGGATTAGTCTCGTGGCAGATTTCTTCAACTGTCAGTTCTTGCCGCATGATTCTTCGCTACATTTCCAAACTGGGGCACTTTGCCATGCCCCTGCTAAACCCTAACCCCTAAACCTAAACCCACCTTAAAATACTAAACCCGACCAAGGTGACTGCCATGCCGGCCAGGCGGGTGGTGCATGCAGCATCCAAGCTCCTTGCCGCATTGTGCCAGGCCTGTGGGAGAATTTGTAAGACCTCAGCCAGGACTCGTGGTTGTGTCTACATGAGCCTGCGTTCGTTGTATCTGAGCAATTCACCGCTGTCTGCGAATTTTCCCTTGTCTTATATCCTGGATAGTATCTTGTGACTCATGATGTAAAAGCATTGCAAACCTGGTTTCTCTAGTGTCCACCCACCCGAAAAAGATGAGACCTCGTCTCGCTTGTCCGACTTGTGAGAGCGTACGCCCTGAACCCAAGACCTCTCCGTGTAGCTTTTTGTGCGACTTAAACAGCCTCGGCTGGGCTGTCCAATTGCGCGAGGTTAAGCCCTGAACCCTACACCGCACCCAAACCCTTAAACCCTACACTCAAACCCTAAACCTTGACTGTGCACCTAAGAACCTCGCCTGGCTCGGTGTCCGCGTTGTGAGAGCGTAAACCCTAAACCTTTGCTACCGAACATACCCTGCAAGGCCGTCCTCGTCCCTTAGTAGGAGTAAAAACCCTAAACCTTAAGAGCCCTAGGTAGGAGGCAAAAATCATAGGGACCCTTAGAAGGGTAAGGGGGAGGGGTGTACAGCACTATACTTCCTTAAAGAGGCCTGGTGAGGTCGTTATTACGGACATTAAGGCCCCTTACCCCCCCTTTTCCGATATACCCCTCTAAGGGCTCCCATGAAAAAAGAGCCTCCGAGGAAGGCGATGTCAAACAGAATGGGACTGGCGAGATTTTCTTCGACGGCTGCTCCTCGGAAGGCGTCGGAGGTGCGACAACGTGGGCTGAGCTCCTGAAGTAATAGTAGAATAGCAAGAAGACCTGTCATATTAACGCTAATAGTGATATTAATGCTAATAAGAAGAGTAACAGAAATAATTCGAAAGACTAATCGTTGTAATAATGGTCCGCAATCATGATGGCAATGATCATTGAAGACGTGGATTTCCAGTCATACAAGCGCCGTAGAACTGAACAAGGGCTTCGTATGGGTCTCATGTTGTCATGCAAGCGCCTTAGAACTGAACAAGGGCTTCGCATGGGTCTCATGTTGTCTTCATTACCTACAGCCTACCACGGTATACGTGTACATATGGACTACAAGACGACTTGAAGTGTTCAGACTATGTCGACCGTCATAGTAGAGTGCAGGTTGCCGGCATGAAGGTTTTAGGATAAGGGCTGCCGCGGTAGTTATCCAGGGTCGGCTTCCCACCCAGTGCGACTGCAGTGCTAGCTTACAATCATCTACTTGCTGATCAGTATGGGGACTGTCTCCTCCTGCTATTTGGAGCCAAATCCTGTAAACTCTATCTACTCTGAATTCTGTAAACCTGAAAACAATAGGCCCGAACCCCCCAAACCTATCTACAACCTGAACCCTGAGCTCGGACAGTTTGGGGATTTAGGGTTTAGGGCAGTAAACCCCAAACCCTAAACGAGTGGTGCCTTATTTGGTGGAGGTGGGCTTTGTGCCTTCTCGCGGGGCTCAGTGAAGCTGATGGGGAAGAGCGTGTTTCAGCCGCCCGGCTTCCTTTAGCTTCTGGCGACCTTTGGCATTAAGGGTTTAGATTTATGAGGTTGTAGGGTTCATAGGACTGTCACAGTTTATAGGGTATTGAGGCTGCAGGCATTGTGTTCAGGTTTTTGAGCAAGGCTTTGGGATGTCAACACGTCCTGCCTACAACATCTTTTCAATTGGCCCACAGATGGGTTCCGGAGTGTATCAGGAGGGCCATTGAAGGCATGTGATTTGAACAGCTAGGCACTGCGTCGCTGGAATGAGTGGTGCAGCTCTGCCTCTTGGCAAAATAAACCCGGAAGGAGACATTCCAAAGTTTCCTCAGTCGCATGAGCGGCTGGGGAACGGTGATGACCAGTAGTGTCAGTGGAGATTGCCTTCCACTTCATGAGAGCCAGGTACAGCATTGCACCGACCACAGTGGCGTCTTCTACCATCATTGACACAACAATACGCAGCAGCTGGCTTGCATTGGAAAGTGGCTTCGGGCAAGAGTCAACGGGGTCGGCTGAGCACCTTGCTCTCAAGTTCGTCTTAACTGCATCGACTGCATGTTCGATCGAGGTTCCGGAGCCGTTTTGACAGGGTCCGGGTGCTAGCTGCCGCTGCCAGGTCAAGTTTCTTTCTTCGTGCGCAGCAGCCTCCTCATGCAGAATGTGTCCATATCGAACCTTGGCGCAACTAAAGCTTCCTTAGGTTAGCGTGTTGGCCTTCAGCCGCTATAACATGACTTCGCCAATACCTTTAACGACTAGCTTCCGCGTTTTCCTTCGAGAGCCGGGGAAGCCCCGCCTGCAGAGCCCGAGAGATTTCAATCGCCTTCTACACCCAAAACCCTTGAACCCCACAACCCCTAAACTCTGCAAGCTCAGCGGACTTAGTGCCTGAAGCGCGAGTCGAAACCCAAACCCCTATTAACCCTACTTGGAGGATCATGGGACTTAGAAAGTAAGGTTATAAGTACCCTAACTGGGGTTATAAGTATAGTTACCCCAATTATACCCCTAGTTACTAAGTCCCATGATCCTTTAAGTAAACCCTAAACCCCATAGATCCCTGTAAGGAACCCTATAGATCCCTTTTGAGGAAGCCCTTTCAGAACCCACGCTCCTCAGGGGCACCTTGCAGCAGCCCTTTCAGGCCCTGGCAAGGCCTGGAAGCCTAGAGTCTCCGAAGCTCGCATATGTGCACATACACCTTAAACATAACATAGACATAATAGACATGGGCGGTTGTCAAAATTGTGGTCCCTTTTTTTGTACCCTAAAGATTAGGTGCCGTATTATCATAAGGACCCAAAAAGGGACCCAAATTTTGACAACCACCCACATGTAAGTATATTCACTTCGTTCTACATATGTGTACCTATCTTCGTATATGCTTGTTGACATGTTGGTGCATGCAGACATGTGTATGAGTGTGGAGTTGGTGCTTCATGTTGTGTGTCCTCGTTTTACACCAACAGCCGCTGTGCAGGGAGATCAATATCACGCAGCCGCCAAACTGCTCGCTGTTGGCCGATGGCTGCCAGTTCACAGCCACGTCTTTGCAGGCATTTTCATTGGGATTTCTTGTCACATGACATGTCCGTGAACAGGCATTCCTGCATTTGCTTGAGTACCAAGCCTTAGTCTAGACTGTTGTATAGTATATACAGTATAGATGGTATTTATAGTATATAATATATATATATATATATATATATATATAGTATATATAGTATTGATATAGTATATATGGTTGCGCCCCGGCGGGCCCCCCTCCCGCCCCCCTCCCCCTGTGCCGATACACCCCCAAGGGATACTCCTTGTGAGGAGGTGTATGACCAGTTATTCCCTAAGGATCAAAGGGCAGCGCCCTGCACACGGACAGTAGTTGTTTTGTCTTGCTACGCAAGGAGAGCTTGTCTTGTCTCAATATGGTAAAACCACTGTGAGCCAATGGGCAGCGGAATGTATATGTATGAGCATGCAGCCATTGCTGTAGGTACCTGTTAGAGCTACCCCTTTAGAGGTTTACGCAAACAAACAGACACTAATTTTCTTTTACCGGAAGCATGGCCGCACATTCACACATATACTATTATGCCCACTGTCACAGTTGCGGAGTTTGGACTCATGATAAAAACAGCATGTTATTTATGCTAGGTATAGCACTGAAGTACACTGCTGAGGACACTCCACTCATTTTGCACACACACTCATGCATGTTGGTCAGAGAGATCATCTGTACAAGATCATGTCTGGTGATGTTTTCTACATCGAATTATGCAGCCTTTCACCTTGCTCTTGTTAGAGCTTTGTGAGTCACTGTTGTGAAACTCTGAGAATTTTCTTATCTCAGATTCGGATCCAGGTTTGGATCATAGGCTCGAGCGTAGACGTTCGGATGTGGCTCATCCGGGTCTGAGTGGTCTTCTTCGGAACTTGAAAAGATTCCGAGTAATCTGTTCTCCGCCCTGGTGAAGGCGGCGTCTGCAGTATCATATCCATGGTTGGATGTTATCGCCTTTGGCTCGGCCTTTGGAGCAGCTTGTGAGCTGGCTGGAGTTGCCTTGGCTTTTGCCGGTTGCGGCTGCTTAGCCCTTGCCCGTTCAGCCCTTCTTCTTTCAAGCTGTCCGTCTGAGGACGCCCATGATCTTTCACTTTCATCTCCTGAAGGAGATAAGGCGTGGGCATAAAGGCTATTCCAGTACTGTGGTGCAGAAGGAGTTAGGACTTCTTCATTGTCAGATTCTGACTGGTCTTCCTCAGAGCTTTGGTCGTCAAAGAGTGTCTCGAGGACATTTTTGAGATTGTTATTTCTTCGCTCTATCTCTAGTGAGGAATGGACCAATTGGTTAAAGACTGTCCTTGAGTCCTTCAGTGCTGTTAGAAGGATTTCCACTCTGGATAGAGTATCTTGGATGGTGTCAAGATGTTCCTTTCTTTCCTCCTTGTCTCTCTGGATAGAGCCTCGCAATGCTTGTGCGATTCTGAGGAGGTCTGTGTATTTCGCAAGAGGCATAGTTACCGTTTGATTGTCATGTATGACAGTTGTTTCGTCGCCGCTTAAGTTCCTGAATAGGACTTCCACGACTGGTAGGAACTCCGTGCTCCACGGTTCCTCTTCATCATATGTTTCTACGTGCTGTAGCACGCGTTGTGTAAACTGGCCGGCTGCTTCTACCGTTGCATCGATAGAGCTGACGTGTCTTGCTACTATGTTTCGGCACGTAACGTTAATTGCCTGGCCTTGATTGGCTTCGTCAAGTGCAGCGTCTGCATAGGTGCAGAGTCCACTGTTGTGGGCTTCTCTAGCTGCCTTTCGTTGAATGCGCCGATTTTGACCTCCTCTTCTGGTAGGACCTTTTGGTCTTGGAGGATCAGAAGGTACTGTTCCTTTCGCCTTTGGCGGAGGACTCTTAGGTGGAGGTGATATGTTTGCCTTGTTAGGCCCTGGTGGCATTGCCTTGGGCGCTGATGACGATGCGGCACTTGAGAGTGCAGATGTACCTCTGGCCTTTGCCGAGGATCCCTTGGGGATCGATGTATAGGTAATCTGCATGGCTTCTTCGGCCATTTGTGCATGCAAGGCATCCTTGAATAATTGTGTCATGTGAGGAGTGTTACTTGCATCATCGTAGGTCTGGAAGCGCTCAATGTCTCTTTCGGTGCCACGTGGTCGTGTATCACCTCTTTGGAAAGGATCGTTCCTGCGAATCTCCGCAACTTGTACTGCATGGAGGCAGTTTTTGCACAGCACCTTCTTGCAAACATCTCTTGCTTGCTTGAGCTGGTAACAGCTGTCTGAGAGATGGTAGACTTCGCTTCGGGAAGTATGCCAGATAGGTCGCAGATCAGTTGTTTCTCCGGAATTGACCCTGTTGGGTCCTAAAGGTTCACGCGTCTGCGGTTCATCCTCGGGTTCGAGGAATGGAACTCTTTGGTTCGCTGCTGCTTTTGATTTTGGTTGTTGGCGCTCCATACATCTGATAGGAGGCCTGGTAATCTGCTTCCACATCCAGTGTAAGCCCATTAGCAGCAGAAACACATTCCACGCGATGCTGAAGACGGAGAAGTCCTGCTCACTGGTTAGTGAGTTTGGAAGTGAAGTTTCATCAGTCTTGATAGACTCTGCGTTCGCTCCACCTCGGTTGCGGTGTCCGAACCAGCCCGACAACCCCGCTGCTGTAGCAGCTGTTCTGAGTGCCTTGCCGCTCGGAGCAGACGGTGGACGCGATGCCTTCCTTCTTCTCCTCCGGCTTGAGGATTCGTCCTCTTGTTCCTCTTCATCTCTCT